GCGCCGTGGTGCCGCTGATGCACGGAGACAAGGTTTACGTTCAGATGCCATCCGAGCAGGCGGCAGGACTCTATGCCGGGCAGTACGTTCATTCGTCTTTTTCAGGGTATTTATTGTATCCCATGTAAAACACAACGAACAGACAYACACAACACCCACAGACAAAAATCAAAACCTTTCTCCTCTGCTTCAAACTTTTATACCACAAAAGATGCATTTTATGACCGTTTTGGACCATCTTGTGCAATGACAAAAAATTAAATATGAAGTTTAATGTTATGCACAGCTAGTTATAAAAAAAGGTGTGGTGAACATATCTAAAGATGTGTATCAGGTTCATAAACAGTTGTTTTGCACCCAAGGGGGACATATTAGCTGTACATTATATATTTCTGCAATGCCATGCTTAATTTCATTCACAGTAATTCAATACTAAAGTTCAAATCAGTGTATGTCACTCACTCCTGTTGCATTGATCATAGTTATGAGATGAAAAACAGTGACTTTGCCAGAGTAGGTCAGTCTCTAATTATATTAAAAAATTTGAGTGGCKTATTTGTCTAGGTGGGGGTTTTCTTGGTTTTTTGACAGCAGGTCTGCCTGACAAGCAAAGGTTCTGTTAGCTGGAAACCTTTATTTTCCTTCCCCCATTTAAAATAATCCTTCAGGTGTAGTTTTTTCCTGAACAATTTATTTATGATGGAAGAGGAATACTAATGGTATAACTATTCCCCTGAGCTCTCTCCAGCAGTCATTGGACCTAAAATGTCACCACTGACTCCAGCAGGCACTGGTTTTACGTCCCAATGCCACCTCACTTGGAAAGATTCCATCTTTATGCACACAGCTCAAGTAGATGAGGTCARTTTTCCCCATTTACTTTGTGCCATGTCATTGAGGCATTTTGGCCTACACATGGCAATACACCAGGGTGGCATAAATTTGCTTGGATTTCTGTGCTTGTACCAAGAACCCAAATTTGTCTTRTCAGAAGAGATGCCTACTGTGCCACTCAGCAAACACTGAATCAGTTTGCTCTTCAATGACTAGGCCAAGCAGAAGTAGCTCTGTTTGCTTAACTGATTTATTGCTTGAGATCAACCAATAACTTTACCAGCAATACTGATCACGCAAATTTATCCGAGAACTTGGTTCTTTCTAAAAGCTGATTTCCAATCCTTATTTATACGTTACCAGTTGTCAAGGCTGAGAACCTGCAGGCCTCAATACTTTTCTGTACTTGAGGACAGCGGCTTCTGTGCACGAAGTCTCTGTCTGCTCATCAATGGTGCTAAATCTCACCTCAACAAGTGTTCTGTTTCCAAAGGGCAGTGGACCTTGCTGTGGTTCCCTGTACAGTGCTGCACATCACACTCTGCTGCTTTAGTTCAAAGAGTTAAGTCCTCATCACTTCTTTGATATCTTTAGCTACCGCTACCGCTTTTGATTCAAAAATGAACTAGATTTTTCATGCAGAACTAAGATTGGATTTAACTGGCATTACCATTATTTAAATGCAGAGTTTAATGCAGTCTAACATTGACTAAGGACTCCAGTGATATAATGTGGTGCTTTATCTCAGAAATTTTACGGAACGGTGGCAGGAATGGATGGACAGTTTACCAGACACTGGTGACTTCAGTATGTTCCCAGAATATATGAGATATGTCAAAAGCAAATAATTTTGTATTTAAAATTTTTGTACTGATTTGAAAAAAAATATCTTATTAAATATCTTTAAAAATAAAACCAAAACCCAATTCTGACTTCATTCAGAACTATCAGAAGGAACATTCAAYCTGCTGAATTCATGTATCAGACTACAAGGACACTCTGAAACCACTGGCAGCGTGACAGAGGGGAAAAAACATTTTAAAAGAGACACTCTCTTCTCTCATTCCCATCACCTGGCAAAAGATTCTCTAAGCCACTGAGGGAACATGTCCCATTTGGTGGGAGGGTACAGCTGGGTCCAGGGGAACACAAAGAAGGAGTGGTTCCCTCAGGCAGCCCGTGGGGACAGGAACTGCTCAGCATCAGCCAGTGTGGAGTGCAGCTGAAGGAGGCAGAGGGACAGCCAAGGATTCAGCCACAGAGGCTGCTGATAAGGGTTTGTGTCACCTCAAAAGGCAGAACTGGCTGCCCAGGATGAGAGATGCTCCCCACATTGCTGGCTCTCTTGATGTGGCTTCCCCACCTCACCTCAAAATCAGGCATTTTCTCYAAGCTGGTGAACTCCTAACTGTCTATACTGAAAGGAATGCACTGAATACCGACTGTGCCAGGCAATTGTTATCTAAATATCCCTTGGACTCCCTGAAGCCCTCAGCATCTCATTTTTACTGCACAAAGAGAAAACAAATAATGAGAAAAACACTGCAATCAGCATCTCTTTCCAGCTAAAGCCTTTTTCACTTTCTGTAATTTTTATCACACACCATCTTCTTCATTCTACATCTTTTATTTTACCATTCCCCTGATAGTCCACTGTAAGACAAGCAAGATGCARAAAACAATGAAAAATTTGAATCACAAGGACACTGCCCTTGATCTTTTCCACAAAAAAAATGTCCCAGCATTGGTTGTACTCAGCCTGGAGCGAAATCTTCACCCACAGTACAACTCAGCCCACCTAGGTTCAGAAACTTTTTGGCTGTTTGCTCCAGGAAGCACTAAAGTTTATTCCAAACTTGATATTTTATCTGACAACACCATACACTTTACACACCAGTAATAATGGCCCTGGGCATACCCACACATCCACACTCACACACAGAGCACTCGCCCTGTAAAAATCAGGCTGAGGGTACTGTCTTTAACAGTTTATTCACAGGAAAATAATCTCCTTCCATTTGTAGCATTCAAAATTTCACTTGAAACAACTGTAAGAATTCTTCAAAATACAGGTGGCACTTTAAAGGCATATAAAACTTAAGACAAATGGCAAATAAAGTAAGTACCAATACCAAAAACATATGCTGAACTTTTTATGTTCTTAAAAATCAGAGTCCACTTAAAAGTTAAGGTATTTATACTACCTCCCAGGGCATTGTTAAAAMGGAAAGTGTGGCATTAGAAACAAGAAGTACCACACACTAATTAAACACTGAAGTTGTAATTCTGTTGTATTTTTATTACCTACACAGTCACCAGAAATGTCATTTTAGGCACTCTATTTAGTGCAATARTCTGTGACTTCCCTTAATTAATTAACAGCAGAGGAAAAAACAGTTTCCCACCAGAAAACAAAAGAACCTCCCTGAAAGTTTGGGGCACACAGAGCTTTCAGGCAACATATGTCATCCTGCCTCTTCAGTGCATAGTTTGGTGTCTTGGCGCTGGGTCTTTCTGACAGTGTAGAACTCTGAGGGTGGCAAATAAAATGCAGAAGCACCTTTTGCTGTAAGGTGGTGCTGTCTAGAAATTCAGCAATCTGCTGGAGAACAGGACAGAGTAAGAAGGGATGAGAACATCKGACTTCAGACARAAAAATGATGAGAGACACTGGGGAYCTATACAGTTACACCATTATCAGACACAGAAATAAAGGTGGCAGCACCCTGGGATTCAATATTGGCAGCTTTGTTCCTGATGCGATTTAAAAAAACTGGATAGTTTTAAAGGAAAGTTTCAGTGCAGAGATTTCACTTTCAGGAATGGCAAAAAGAGAAAAAGAAAATCTTAATACCAAATGACTCTCAGAAATTATCTAAATATTTGGTGTTAGCATAATTGTTTTATACGGAAAGCCCCAAGTCTTTGGTACTGCAAAAGACCTGTGAAAATGTGTGCCCAGACAGAAGAGACACTGAGCACTGCTGAGAAACACACKACACATGGGTGCTCCTGCCTGAAGGAAGGCAGTGCCAAAGCAAGAGCCATCCACAAGGCAGATGAGCAGGAGGGATGTGCATGGAGCAGGGCTGGTGTGCACAGGATCCTACAAAACATCTTGTGGGGGGAAAATTCATTATTGGGCACACTGCTTATTATTGAGGAGAGCTACTGGCCTGCAAGCTGGGCTTTCAAAACAAAAACAAACTACAAAATGAATACCCCATGGTTTATCAACAGCATCAGCTCTTGGCTTGGTCCCGAGAGAACAGGTTTTGTTCTGAATGTTACCCAATCACCCTGGGACACTCTAACTGTGGTGGACTCAACATCCCTGCAGGAGCACACAARTCGAGGGAGAAATATCCCTGGGAATACTGCTTAATTTGAAAAATAAGTTAGTCAKACCAATGGGGAGGTTTATTAAGAAATAAAAAGGAGAAGCTGATRTGGACAAGTGCTTTGTAAAGAGCATATTAAATTCATCAAGAACACCAAACWTTATTTTTTAAATATATTTTAGGGAGATCAAAAAAGCTGATGAGGCAAACATAAAAAAGATTAAAGGGATTTTTTTTGAAGTACAAAGAGTTTGGGAGACTTTGTTTGCCATGAAGACTTTTTTTTTCAATTATTCTGATTGTTCTGCCACAATTAGAATCCAAATCCTACCCTCCCACAAAAAAGCAGAAAACCTAGAAAAATGAGGAGAAGGAATCAGTTTAGATTAGTGGGAAGAGTATCTCTGGAGATGAAATAATGCAGACAGGGTAACTCCATCCTCATAAGCAGAACTCCCTACCCACTTCCTAYGGGTAGGGATGGAGAAGCAGAGGGAAGCAGCTTGCACCATCACAAAAACTCTCCTCATGGTGTGGGGCAAATTCAACAGCTCTCCTGGAAAAAAATCCTCATGAACAGCATACTGCAAGATATGACATGGATGCAGCTGGATCATGGCAGCAGCCACTGGAAGAGCTGGGGGCTCCAGCTCTGGAACCAACTGCATATTTTGAGCGTGACAATACTGTCATTAATATCTGATGTGAAACCCCACCTGTCTGTAGTCAGGATTTTTAAGCAAAGACCTCCTCAAAGCCTCAGAAAACAAAAAACAAAAAAAAACAAAAAAAAAACAAAAAAAAACCCCAAACAAAACAAAAAAAAAAGTAAATAAATTAAGTAAGAGCCCTTCTTCCAGCTGGTAAAGAAAGGGTGGTCTTCTCCATTTCCACYACCAGAGTCCCCTGTACCCCAGGACCTCACACRCACTCCCCTCTCCTCCATGCTCCCACTGCCACCCTGCACATCTCTGGTCTGCAGCTGCACCCAAGGGGGACACAGCTGCCAAGACACCATGGCACAGCCTGGCCCTTGCTGGGACACCACTGGGTCCTTCCCCACCCATCAGRTTTTTCTGATGTCTGGATTTTTTACAGGTATGTCCAACTTGCTTGAAATGGACCAAAGCTCAGGAATCACTGGGTGAAAACACACTGCCTCCTCCCCTTCAGCTGTGGCATCTCTCCAAATCATACTGCCCTCCCTAAYTCCCAAATGGCAGAGCCAAGGAGTTAAAAATGGAAATAAGAACTATGAGAAGGTGTTTGTGATTTTGTTTTTTTTTTTTTTTTTATAGCTACTGCACCCCAGAAGGATGACTCTTTGGTTACTTCAATGGTTATTCCTCTACATTGCTGCAGCAAAAAGAAAAAAAAATGTGCTTGGTACTCTTGCAATCCTCAGCTTCTGAAAATAACAAATACCATGGTTTGTGTTCATATTGTGATTGTTTGCATWACTCCTAAATGTACTCTCTCTATAAATTTCATTTAAAAGCAACAAAGGTATTTCTACCAACTTTAAATCATTTTAAGTGGACTTCTTTATGCTTTCCTCAGGTGTGATTGATCAGGATAACCACAAAATCTTCCAGTAATTCTGCCATAATTAAAATAAAAACTTTGTTTAGATGCTCTGTGAGAGAACTGGAACAGCATACTGTTGTTCTTTGACAGTTGTCAAGCGCCTTCCCAGGCAGATTTCATTTATTCACAGACTCATCAGAGACAAACCAACACGGGAAACAAACGTCCCATTAAATGCCTCAATTAAAATCTTGAGTAAATTCCCACTGATAAATGATTTAGTTCAGCCATACACTTTAAACTTAAATGTCAAGATAGAAGAGGTAAACAGATGCCAAATGATAATTCAGCTGAGGTACATCCTGGATATTCCCTACCACACTCTACTGCCAAAAATGGGAGTATTCATTGCTTGTATTGACGCATTAGAGCATCTGAGGAAGGAGATTGTGCTCATTTGGAAAAATCCACCTCAATTTTTGAGGAACAACAAACAAATACATGAGATCCYGTCCTGGAGAACTAGAACTCCAACAAGCATTGTCTCAAAACTCAGGCATGAACATCTCTGTCCCAGATCACGTTTCCGTTGTGGTCTGGGGGCTTGGACAACTCTTCARTCTTCATATTCCCTCCTTTTTAAGTCAAGTTAGCAACTGTAAAATTTACTGGATGCACAGCACAGGGAGTATGGTTTTTCCATTAAATGGGTACAACACAAGCATTGTCAACACCAACATCTCCACAAATTGGACAAAGGGTCTTCACCTCTGGCAAAGGCAGACAGCAGTTCAGAGTTGATGGTCAGTGCAGAAGCTGTGGCTGCTTGGCTGAAGGTGCACATCCTCTCCTCAGGAGTATGRCAGAACAAAACCTGCACAGTCTGTACGTTCTCCCTTCTCCAAAACTCACAGTAATGATTTAGATGCATAGATTTAAAGCCATTTTCACACTTCAAGACAGATAGTCATGACTTTACATCCATCTACTAATGGAACACTGGTCATCGCAGTRTCTTGACAGTGGAACTCTTCTGGAGGATAACATCAGAAACGAAATTATTCCAGAGAATTAATCATTTGGAAGGAGTTCTCACTGATAAGTGATGTGCATCACATTTTTATATATCCCTGATACTTTCAGCTGAAAGTTTCATGGTTTCCCACTATTAAATAGCTTCACAGAAATTCAGTTAACTCTGTCTGCAACAGTCCATTACCGTCAGGCTTAGAAAGCAGCTTCTGCCTTGGTGAGGTTTCTGGGCTCCTTTGAAACAGTAAACAGTTATGCTGCACTTAAAAAATAAAAATGTCATACAAAAAATAAAAATTTTTCAGATCTTCAAAATAGTGATTGTTCTTTGTATTTTCCATTCAGCTTTCACGTCAAATTGACTACAAAGTTCTTGTCTATAAGCTTCTTCAAAAATTTCTGCTCGGCGGTGATGTTGTGGTATTCATTCTAAAGAGATGTGAGGGAATAATAAAATAAATTAYAAAATCAAATTATAACCAGCAGCATCACTTGGCTGTTCCTATTACCTGTGATACTTGGAAGATGCTAAGAATAGGAATGTTCTGAAGAAAAGACTTCTTAGCACAGGCTTAGCACAGTCTCCCAAGMAAACAGGTTGCTCAAAAGTAGATTAGATATTTCCATAAGCACACAACCAAAAAGGCTGATCCTTTGATGATAAGAATGGGTGAGATGTGSTCTCACAGAAGTCTTTCCATTATTAGCTCTCCCAACTCCTCACCCTGCTTACTCAGAACAACTGTGTAATCACATTTACAGCACAAACAGTCAGAAAACAAGTCACTCTCAAAGTGCAGGTTCTGGAAAAGCACATCAGCCCCTGGTAGCTCAGATGCACCCTGCCAATTAGTTTCAGCAAGCCAAAACCACCTCATCTTCTGTGCTGTATCCAGATTCTGGATACACAGGAGACCACTAAAGTTAGTGGATGGCAGCACAAGGAAAATAAATTTACTTAAGACACTGAATCCTGTACATTAAAATGAATGTAATAAAAATACTGCATWAAGTATTATACATATGTAGTATAGTATACAGAATTTCATGCCACTAAAGAACAGGAACAATTTTGTTTAGTAGTTTTGTTTTTTTTAAAGTTTCAAGGTTTTAAGAAACTTATGGATGTATATTCAACTAATGACCAAACTATCGGTGCCTATGTTGCAAAAAAGCACCTGCAGAGAGGAGTCTCAAAAGGAAGGCAAGTTCAGTGTCAGAGCAGAATTATCTCAGAGCAGCAGGCATCTAGGAGTCCTGAGAGAAACATGAGAGACTCCTATGGATACTGTCTCTACCATTCCTCTTCAGCAAAGGGAAGAGGAGCAAAATGGTACCCATATGCTCTGGACAAATGGAAAACAGAACTTCGCACTGGAGGAGATGGGGCTGCTTGGAATGCAGAGCTGAAGGCAACTGAATACAAGGGCAGAGACATAAAAGAAAACAGAAGCATGGCCATAGCAAAGCAAYAGGGAGGAGAAGACATTCCTGATGTTTGCCAGCCTCCTGCTGCTCCCTCTCCTGCTGAGTTGTGGCTTTCCCCAGCAGTTCCTTCTCTTCCTATCCTCCTCCAAGAGCTGCTTCTCTTTTCTACTTTCTGTTTCCAAAATCCAGTTCTGCTATGCAAGACCTATGCAAGTTCATAGGTCTTAACTCCTTCCATTCCCCTTTGCTCTCCTGTCTTTTAAGTAGTTTGACACCTACGACATGGTACAAGTAAGTGCCAAGGAAAAGGAGAACACAAACAGAAACAACACCACTCATGTGCAGACAGTGCTAACAAAGATGTCTCCATGACAAGAGCTGTGCAGCCTAAAGAAAACAYCAGCAAAGCAAAACACAACACACAAATGGACATGTCATGCAGACACTGCAAARCATGCACAAGGGACACAAATATCAGGATCTACATTTTCCAGAAACAAYAGCAGAGAAGAAGAGATTCAAGCAATGTTAACCCACAAGCAGCTGAACCAGCAGAAGGTGGGAGGCCTTTCTGACCTGCAGCCCAACACTTTTMTCTATATTGAATTGCCTTCCCCAATTACCAGCTCTATTTCTCTCAGCACAAACAAGTGTTAGTTACCTGCATCATCTGAGACATGGTTTCATTGCCATAGTAGTGCAAAGAACTGTTTCTGTCAGCGAAGTCRTACTTGAAGCCTGCCAGGTGGACTTCATGGCATATGTGAAATGCCAGTGTAACAGCAATTAGCCCCGTTGTTGGATGCTTGGGTTTCTACAACAAAGCACAAACAGAACACATATRTAAGTACCCTGGTAGCTTGATGGGAGTAGCAAACTTAAACACAAAGACAAGGGAAATCAGGCAGCCTGAGTCTTCTACAATGTCTGGTTTCACAGTTTGATCTCCTCGTGTCTCAAAAGGAGCAGGGTAYTACTCCACAGACTTCCCATGACTGGGGTATCTTGTCATGCCTGCCTTCCCTCAGATTCTTTGGTTTCTCAGGAGGGCTGAGCCCACAGTGTAGCCCTTCCCTCCACAGGTGCATCAGGAAAGTCTCCCCTTTACTCTGCTCAGCTACTTTCATAAGACTGTGTTTCACTACACTGGAGACCATTTCATCCCCTCAAACCTGACTGAATTAGGACGTGCTCAAAAGTTTCTGGATAATGGAGGCCCAGATGAACAGAACATAAGACACCTCAAATTTTCATAGCTAAACCAAAGTAAAAAAGCATAAATCCTATTCCTACAAAATTTGACTTTTTTCAAAGCAGGGACATTCCAGAAGAATCTTCCTTTAGACCTTCCCCCACCATCCCCATTTGAAGAAACTTAAATAAAATTATTTCTSCCTACAATAAGAAAGTTCAGAAATAAATGCATGTAAAATAAACAGCATGTCATAAAGAGGTTTTAGYWKTGCAAAATTAAGARCACCTAACCAAAGGTTAGTATTTCKCACAAAGGCACAGAACTYCTCCATGTAACCATCTGCCCTATTGTGTGCTCAGATACATGACCTCTTTAGTAGCAGCAGAGGCTAAAATGATCTGGGGAAGTAAATGAGGCAAGTTTTTTTAAAGAGAAGTGAACTCTTTTCTATTCGACCAAGATGAAGCTTTCTGAACTCTGACTGAAGACTCTGTCTCTGAAAGAGAAGCAGACAAACCAGTACTAGACAATTCTGTGCACAGAGAAGACAGATGCATTTGATATGTTTTTTTGTTATCATATTACAACACAAAAAATCCCCAAAAAGAAGTTACTATTCTCAGTTCTTTTAAGCCTAACTGAAGTCACAGAATTGAACTATCACCTTTTACAGAGTTTTCTGCTACCTTGACACAACTCTTGGAGTACTCCAGAAATAATATCTGATTAAAATGTGCACTATGCCCAGGGCTCCTGMCAGTTAGCAAAATAACTTTCTGCCCTAGGGCCCAACATCATAAACTTAGTGGTGACTCTGTTGCAACATCCATACTAAACAGGACCCCAAAACTACGGCAGGAATGCTACRTGTCAGGATTAGTGCTATTTGGAAATATTAGCAATATCACAGGTTGTAACTAGCTCTGCTCACCTTTAGTTATCACAAAATTCACCTCAGAAGAATATAATTTAAAAGCAACTACTCTTAAAATGTACTATCATGAAATATCCACATATCCTTGGCCTGTAATTAAATTTTTACAGCCTATTTAATGGGAATAGGCACAGCCTTGGAATTACTCCACTACACTTTCTGACTTCAGTGGTGCTGGGGCAACACATCTGATTTTATTCCTGGCTCTACTAACAAACAGAAATGCTTGCTGGCTATCCAGCAATGTGCACACTGAGAACATGAGATTCCATTTTAATGGAAAAGACACAGAGAGCAGAGAAAGCAACAGAGATCGTCGGCATCTCCCGCAGGCAGAGGGGGCTTAAGCACAGGACAGTGAAGGCAGCACCAGCCCTCCCCAGCAACAAGAGATGGTGCAGAGGGCTCCAGTGTGAGACCTTTCTACCCATGGGAACCCCTGAGTTGTGACCARTTAACTGAGTGTGCCAGGGCCCCTGCAGATGTGYAGACTCCCAGCCACAGCCCACCTCTGAGATGGAACAGGGAGGAAGACTGATCATTGCTGCATAAGGGACTGCAAAACCCCTGGCACACAGTAACTGGGATGTGGAGGTAGGAGAACTCTACCCCAGCTCTGTGCAGGGGCACCCAAGAGCAGGAGAGGAGCAAAGGGCAACCAAGGGGCRACCAAGGGGCGACCAAGGGGCCTGTGCCTCTGTACCAGCTGAAACCACACACATCTCTAACTCACTATGATTGCTTTTAACATCTACTCCCACTGAGAAGGGAGCCCTGAAGGATTCAAGAGGGATTTCTGGACTCATAGAGACCATGCATGTTCTGTGGCCATTTAGGAGATAGTCAGGGTTCCAATAACTGTGCTGCTTTCTTCCCACCCTCTGCTGAAAAGCTGAAATGGCACAGAGCCCCAAGCAAGCACATAGGCAAAATGGCCATTCCAATTTGAGTTAAAAGGAGAGAAAAACGCCACTATTAGGCTCAGAAAACGAATTTTAGAAAGAGGTGTAAGAACCTACCCCCCACACCGCCCCCCAAAAAAAAGTCTACTACCTTAAGTATTAGAAAGATTAAACCAGAAAAAAAGTTGTGGCAGATACTCCACAGTGAKAACCCATCAGACATTTCCACACATCAGCTGGGTGGTATTGGTGAAGTGGGGAGGTGACCCCAGGGAATTGTATCTGTGCAAACAGCACGTCATGATCMACTGCACAAGGGACCTCACCAGCTTGTAGCTTTACCTTTCATCAGAAACATTCTTCAGTCAAGAACTGRCAATTAAAATGTATTTTTATGTCCAAATAGCTGGTTAGCTCATTACAATGCTTGGCATCAAATCAGCAAGCACAACAATGGTACCAGGCATTCATCCTTAGCACAGGGTTGGAATATCCTGTATGTTCCCTGGTCCCTCCCCGGCTCCAGGAGTGTGAAATTGCAGCAACGTTAGAATTACCAGTTTGCTGGGGGGACAGTTTGCTTGTTTGATATGGACTTATTTTCAGTGTTTTTGTTTTTGGTGGAGATTTCATTGTTTGTGTGGGTTTTTTTTGTCTGTTGTTTTGTGTGCCTTTTTTTTTTAGAAACATTGTAAAACATCCAGCTTTCAGTAGTTCAAGACTCCCTATTATTTCTAGAAGCTCTTTGAATCTGTCATGCTGCATTAGCTGCCCATCTTTCCCAGTTTTGCAAAAGACATTTTGTCTGTCTAGAAAGCAGTCTCATTTCATACCAATTACAGAATCCATAAAAAGGTATTTTTGGCACACAAGGCTAGCCACTCTCTTTCTGGATTCCATTTGCCCATCTTTTTTGAGCACCATCTAAATGACACACTACTTTAATGTGAACCTAAAAGGTTTCCTACATTACAGTCCACTGTAATAAGCACATAATTGCCTCTAAATACACATTTGATTGCCCAAAACTAGAAGGCACAAAAGAAWAAAAACGTACCTCCTTCTTAGGGAACCTTGCTGGGAAATGAAGCCATTCATAGGCAGTTTTCCTGGTGATGCTGGGATCAAGAATCCTTATTTGACTTGATTTGTATATCATCTTCAGAGCTGGTCTCTTCCAAAAGCCCTTCGCGCTCTGTTACAGGCAAGTAAATACGCATTTTTTTTCAGTTATAAACAGTTGAATTTAGTTTTGTAACAACTCTAAGCAGAGGAAACTCCAAGGGCATAAGAATAAGGAAGAAGAACAGTGCTGAACCTCCCTATGTTCAAAAACACTTGCTCCTGCAACAGGATAATCCACTGCTGCAGCAGGCTGGGGCCAGCTGGCTGAAAAACAGCTTTGCAGAAAAGTCCCTGATGGACAACATGTGCCAAAAATATGCCCTGGAGGCAGTAAATGCTCACTGTGTGCTGGCCATACTAGTAAGAACATAGAAAACAGGCAGAGAGAAGTTATCATTCTCAAGTATTTTGCACTGTGCCCTTCTGCAGTCCCACAAATGYTGTGCTGGGCTCCCTTTTGTGCAAGAAAGCGTGTCAAACAGCAGGTCACTTAAACTGCCAAAGGGCCAGAGCTCACAGCAAACTAAAAGGGTTTGAGCCTCTGAGGAGGCTGGGTTGGGTCAGCTCATCTTCAGCTGTTTTGAAGGGGTTTACAGAGATTAGATTAGACTCTTCTCAGAGGCACACAGTGAAAGGACAATGAGAAATTCCCTCCTGTGAGAGAGTGTGCTACAGCACTGGAACAGAGCTCGCAGAAACATCCTTGGATATATTCAAAATTTACTTGGACAGTGCCCTGCAAACCCAGTATGGCTTTGCACTTCGCTCCGAATGAAGAAGATTCAAAAAGATTTTGGACTAAAGACCTCCTGAAAGAGGTCACTTTCAGCATTATTCTGCAGTTCCTCCAAGTGTGCAGGGTAAAATATCTGAAAAATGTCTGGAGCATGCGTATTAAAATATCAAAGAACATTAGGGAGAGGATAAAAATACATTTCCCAGAGGTAAACTGCTTTGTGATTAGGAACTGATCAAATCTGTGCATTAGAAAGAATTCAAAGCACTTATGGAAGAGAAAACTAATTACTAGAAGGAGATCCAGTGCCTCTCTCAGCTAGGAGGACTAAGGTTAAAAGCAAATGTATTTCACATGAGAGATTAGCCAAGGTGCATGAATAATGGAACTCACTACTTTCTGACCACCTAGTATCTCCCAAAGCCACTTCAAGTCCCGTGGTTTGAAGACAATGAGAACAACAGTGGTATTAGGGTCGTAGTGGATGGGATCTGAGAAGATGGATTCCGGGTAAGAAAGGCGGAAAGTCGTCCTCCTCCCGACATCCTCTTCATAYCCTATCACAGGGCCATTGTTCATTCTGCAGAGGACAGAGGCACAGAGACATCAGTGACTGCCCCAGCCATGTTCCCACTGTGCAGGGGCTGCCACACACATTATGAGACTGCAGGACAGACAATGTGTCTGGCTCCAGGAAAGTTTAGCAGCCCAGCATTTACTTATCACATTACAGAGCAGATGAGCAATTATCAGGTGCACTCACCCTCTAACCCCGAGGGATCAAGCACATACAGGAACTTGGCCAAGGTGGTTTAGAGAGCAATCACACAATTGCTTATCGTGTGTCACTTGAGCAGAAAGCAAGCCTTCTGACTTGGCTCAAAMACAGAAACTAGAGAAGGGCAGAGAGATTATCTGCCTTGGAGAATTACCCATTGCTCCATGCACACAAAATGAAAAGGAGATCACCATTTACCTTATTATGACGTCATATGAGTCAATTTTCTCCCCTAATGTCTTATTTCGAAGCACTCCTCCATTACCAACCACAACACACCGTCGACAGGCAATGCTGTAAAACAAAGACAAGTTTTATTATTCATGACTTCCATGGCTTCATATTAGTAATACTTCTGCATGCTAACTGGCTTATTTACTAACTGAGGTCTTGTATCTTTTACAGCCCTTGGCCCCTACAAAGCAGACTCATACTCTTGTATGTATACTATGGCTGCTTTTTTAAAAAAAAAAAAAAAACTGACAAAGTCAGTAATTGGCTCCCCTCATGAAATTGTTTTTACACATCTCCTTTTTCTAGTTGTTTGCTGATCATCTAACCACTTGGTGATACGAGTGTCATTAGATAAATTACCTTCCGCAGCCCTTCAACCTTGTCCCAGTCTGCAGGAACAGACCAGGACAAAACGTATCTGGAAAACTCAATATTAGAGGGCTTCTGCAATATTGTACAACTCCACAGCCCAGGACATGTCCAACACAAGCTAAAGCAGCAAGATTTATGTTCACAATTCACCTTACAGGCCTATGAACTGTGCATGTGAAAAACCTTAGCTCAATGACACAGGGCAGCTTCTCAGATGAACATGGTATGGATTTTTCTCCCTCTACTTAAAAGGTGCTGCCTAAACATGTTTAAGTGAGTGGCATGTGAGCAGTCATGATGTAACAAGATGGATGCCTTGATTAGAAGTTGCATTCTCATACAGCCAGATTTAAATTAGACAGCATTATTAGGTATATAAAATGCTATGAGCTAATAATAAGATCTTATACTACATCAGATTAGAACACTAATTCCAAATTTACAATACATTCAGAGATAAAAAGCACACCAAAAAGAAAGGTATTATGCAGATCTAAACTTATGAAAGTAAATTCTAACGTTAAGATTTTCAAAGCTATTCAGGTTTTCTCAGTGCCATGTTTTGCTGTCTACTGCCTTGTTTCAATGCTAGTAAAATGTGTTTAAAAAAGAAAAGAAAGGGGGAAGCTCACAAACAGGCTTGCTGTTTTTTTACTCAAGAAATTTTGCCTTTTTAGGAAAGGTTTAAATCAAATGTACAAGACTGTAAGCTCCTTCTTACAGAATAAGCATATCATTTTTTTGTTGTTGTAAAAATGCTTCTTWGTTTAGAGCAAAAGCTATTCAATTTGGTTGCAGCAGGAACAATGAGAAAATAAAAATGTTGGTATTTTCTTTAAGCAGGCTCACAGTTTACTGAGGATGAGTCACCTCACAACACTACACCACTCCCTTGGTTTATTAAAGAAAAATGCTCTATGCCATTTCTTGCTGTAGGTTCAGAACACCAAAACTGTCCCAAAGAACATCATATTAAATTCCCAGAATGGCACTTTATGCAAACTAATTAACATCTTTCTCCTCAAACTGTCCAACCTGCTTTTTCAGCTGAGAGATATTATTCAACATCAGTGAAAACAGCCAGTTCCAGCCAAGACTCAGCAACATCTCTATATACAAAGCAGTTCCCTGTATCTCCTAGAGAATTAACAACATCTGCAGAGATAGTTGCCTTTAAGTATACATATATATATATATATATATATATATACACACACACACAAACACACAAATAATGCTCTAAAGGCAGCCTTCAGTGTTGGGTGACATGGAAAAAGTCAGCACACCTTTCTCTACTGTTTCCTGAACAATTTGGTATAGAGAAGCATTCACAACAAGACKTACAGCTATCCAGCTAATACCATAAATCATGTGACTCAGTATCTTGGAAATCAGAAGGGTGAAAACCTGTTACACCACCCTCACCTCAGTAGTGTGGCCATTCCCTCTACACCCCTAAAGCCTTTCCCTCTCTACTYCTTTTGCCCATTCATTTTCCACCTAATTTTTCTATCTAGTTTAAAAATATCTTAAAAAAGCAGGATGRTGAACATATAAAATTTACAGTAGGAGGAACAAAGCAGGAGTTGCCCTTTTCCTGAATTAGATCTTGTTACTTACAGCTATAGCACAGAGCTCAAAGTAAGGAAGGAAAAAGGAAAAGTGGATGAAAAAATGCGATCAGTAAGTGATGAAGAGGAAGTGAGGGAGAGCTACAGAAGTTGTATAGCTCTTCTCAAGTCAAATCCAAATTTGTTTTTTCTCACTGACAAATGCAGACCAGATTTTGTTTATGACTAGGAGTTGACTACTTGGACTGAAAACAAAGTGAAATTTGAAGTTTGATTAAGCTTTCGAATTACAGTGCCCTTCATAACATGAATACTCAAAAATAAAGCTATCAGCTGCCATCAAATACCCAATAAAGAATCTAACATTACTATTTTAACTTTTGAAATGGATGGAAGTAACAAGCAGATCAAATATTCCTGAAGAAGTGTACAGATGAGTACAGTCAAACAAATTAAAATAATCATCTTTTAATCTCTGTCAGGCTCAGGGAGATCAAAGTGGGCTGGCTCAAACAGGAAGTCTGGCACAAGTGTGCTCTTTCTGAATTTCTTCCTCCCCTTACCCTTGCCAGTATCCAAATGCCTTCAGTTATGATCCTACATCTAAGTTCACAGTCATAGAGTCCACTAACAACAGTAAGCAGGAAGGGAAACTTTTTATGTAAAAAAACCAGAACATGTTATCATACAAAACTAACACATGACACAGAGATAAAAAATATGTAGCAAGGTTGGACTGCATTTAAAGATTCTTAAGCTAAACAAACTGACCTGTACTTAATGCAGGTCATAGAAGTCAATGCATAGGTTTTCAGCAGACTGTTACTCCCAGATACTTTACCAACCTTACTTCTTAAGGTTTCCTTTTCATAATATTTTCAAATTAAACAACCCCGAACACTCACCCTTTGTCCAAGTCAATAAATTGACAAGAAGGGAAATTAATTCAAATGTCCTTACAGAACATCAGTTGTGCTACAAGTGAAATATAACAGATGGCAATGTCTGGATGTTCAGCTTACACCAGTAGTGCAATATTAATGACAGTGAAAAATATTAAGACCTTGGCTGTAACAATAGCTGTAGGAGAGGTTTGACTGACAAAGAGATTACCTTTATGTGTCAGAGATCTGCTTAAGAGTATAAATGGATCCCAGTGCAAACACCATGGTAACTGATTTCCAATGCCTGCAGGCAGTAGTCACTCAAAGCATTGCCCTATTCATGTGGTGTACAAGAGCTTCAATCTCAAGGCCAGGCCTTGGCTTATATATTTTGTCTATATGGTGAAATGCTAAAAGAAACATTTTCCTGGTCTATAAAAGAAAAATATTGCTAAATGGAAATGCAGCTTTTAAAGGTCAAAAGGTCTGCATCCTCCACATTCCACTGAAATACTGCTTCAGTGGAAAAAGAAAAAAAACCTCAACCTCAGCTACTTTAACACACACCCTCATAGTCCGTTGAGGAATGCAAATTATTTCCTTTGAGGTTATATGGTGAAAGGARGATGCAGAGTTCACATTTTGTAGACTCAGGATTGTGCAAATTCATTTGTAAGAATTGTTGAGCTTAGAGTCCTTAAGAGTACTCAGTAAGGAATTGAACCCACAACTGAACTGAAGTCAGTGACACTGTTCATCTCCAAACTCTTAAGGAGAGCTAGACCTTTACACAGTGAGAACACCTCCTAAGCTTGGAAAATGACACTGTTTGGAAAAAAAACCCTTGTAGCTCACTCTGTACAGATTTACCTAAGTCATACACAAATACAGTTATATAAGCACCACAGACTATGGGTTTATATAGCTTGGTATCTGTCTGCCTTGAAAAACGTTTGTAGGGAAATCTGGTTTGTGTTCTGCCAGGARGGCTAAATTAGACAACAGCATTACAAAGTTGCCTAATAATTCTGTATTATTGGAGAATGTTATTAGGATTAATTTCCAAAGTGTTTCACTTTTAAAGGTCACTGTATCTCAGTGAAATATATGTATAAAAACTCTTCCCCTCCTACAGTGATTAATGCCCTAAGAGTGCTGTACACAAAACCTGATGCATCTAGAAAAAATATATTGTATGAAGTCACTGCATGTTTGTTTAYACTACTGCCTATKAAATAGAAATMGCTCTCATTTTGCTTCAGTRYTACTGAAGGACATTACTTTTAATAAGATAAAGCATACTTCCCATATACACATCTCAGAGAATCTAAAATCAAAGGATAAATTTCCTTATTTTTCATCTCCATGACARGACACTTCCATTTAAAAGGTCAAGATCTCTGCTTTACAGCACAATTACAGAGCTGAACTTATGATTTCAGGACATTTCTAACACAACACTTGGCATTCTCCTTCAAACTTCGACGAAAGTCCAGCTTCTGTCAGCCAATTCTGTATAAATTTACCCCATGATAATGCTCCTGATAGAARATACAGAGTTTTACCTTTTTTCCTTCCTTYTCTGMAGTGTAAACTTGAGCATCGTAGGAACARACTAAACAGAGAAGGGAAGGAGTACAATAGGTGGAAAAAAAGAAAAACCCCATATTGAAACAAGTTCTTAGGTTTGAACATATTCCACCCAAGTTTAATGAAAAYGTGATCCTGACATCTGGCTTCAGGCAGCAATCTTGTACAGTGTCTGTAATTAAAAAATAAAAACAAGTACAGCCAACCTCAGCCTTATTTGCACTCAATGGTATGAAAAAGTCTCTATATTAACATGATATCTGGCAGGTTGTCAGCCCATTTTCTTGACTGCAAATCTAAGGAGCCATCTGCATCACTTTGTACACAGAGGACTTCAGTCTACTTGCCAACCATACTACACTATCTCCAAAAAACCCCAACCAAAGCTAGACAAACAAAAAAGAGCAAGACACACAAAGATCCTCCAAAACAAAACAAGAAGTCCTGGTAGATGTGGCTTCCAACAAGAGATTTCATCTAATTAAAGATTTAATCTAATTTAATCTATCAAATCCACGGGAAGCAAGTTATCTAAGGCATGGTCCCTTCCATGCCACACCCTTGTTACTCCCTAAAGGACAGCCAGTCTTTCCTGTCTTCTGAAGTCTCCCTGATCCACAAGGAAAGGAAGCTGAGCATACCAAGGAACAATGGTGTGCAGCAGCCATCAGAARCAGAGGCACAGGGATATGCCCAAGATTTCTTCTGCATAGGAGCAGCCATTGGTTTGCACCTGCATTCTCCATCTTATACCAATGATGACTTTGAAAGAAGAGGTCACATTCAATCTAAGCATAGAAAGATACTGCAGGAAGGTGAGACTGCATTCAGCTGGCAAATTTCTAACACAGTTATAAAATGAAATCTGTAAATTTAAGCTCCCTCACAGGAAATTTTTTCTTGCATGCTGATGCCACGTAAGTGTAAAATCAAGCCTACTTAAACCTTGGAATCAGTTACATACTGCTTGGACCCTGTCATGCTGATCTGTGTCTGGACTAACTTCAGCRATATCAGGACAACCTCACAGACATTCCTTTTCAGGTAAACATGAAATATTAAGAAAACAACTAACAGAAACAGCAGCAAATAAACCATCCCACCTGTCTTCTTCACTGTAAAGTCCACAGTTCTGCAGTCTTGAAAGGGCTAGACGAAAAAATTGCTCTAGAAAGTAAATATAAACAAGATTAATGAAAATATTCAGTATTTGCCAATACAAAAATAAGCATGTCACCCTGACTACAGTATTTTTAAACACAGTAGTTCACATGCTGTGTAATAATGTGTTTACACTACTGTGCATAAAAACCTCAAGGAAGAACACTTGGGATTTAGGGCCACAGATGAACCAATGATTTCTACCRAAGAAATTCAGGTTTATCAGAGCTYCTCTCTAAGGTGTTCTGCCTCAAAATAGAAAATTGCATGAGATCTGTATTAAAAAATATATCTTAGTTACAGTAAAAAAGAACTGAAAGGATTTCCAAGACCTACATCCCAACTGACTTTGTTTTCTCTTCTACCTACCTTCAGGTGACCCAAGAGGGTTCATACAGCCAGGGACAGTTAACAGCATTATGTATTTTGGGAGAAGACATCAAATCAGCCTGTGCTAACAGGCAAAGCTGGGCAGAGGCACCTTCCTAGCTCACCCTTGGTGGGCAGGCTCCTGCTGGACAGTCAGTTTGCCTCAGAGGAGAAACCAACTCATTCCCAAATGCAGTCTTCCTTACTGTAACCTCAGAAGTGCAGGAAAATACACTATCCCTTTTACACTGATGGAGGGCAAATCAAAAGTCTAAACTCTGGACTTACAGGATACATGAAGGTACACTGTTCAGTGTTAAAACTCCTGAGATTTGAGACTTTATAACCCTTTCCAAAAGGGTAGCTAAGGCCCTTAGGGTTTCTGGCCCTATTTACTCTGCCCTAAACAACACGGGCAGTGGGAATGAACCAGAAAACCCTCTGCACAGGTCCAGCAGTCATRCAGTGTCAGGAATCCCCTCTGCAGCCCGTGTGACACCTTCCCTAGCACAGGAGTCAGCTCAGTGTCATGGCTTAGCCCCAAATGACAACTGCCACACAGCCACTCACTCACTGTCCACCACCTCTTAATGGGGAGGAGAATCACAGAAAGGTAAAATCTGTAYAGAAAAGCAAAGASAAAGGGGAATAAAACCCAARAAAAACAAGTGATGCACAATACAGTTGCTCATCACCTGCTGACCCATGCCAGTCCCCRAGCAGCAACCAGCCCTCTTGGGCAACTCCCTGCCAGTTTAAGTACCAATCATGTTCTATGSTATGCAATGTCCATTTTCCATCTGGGGTCAGTTGTCTTGGTAATCCTCCACTCAGCTTCTTGAGCACCTGCTCACTGGCAGAGCACAGGAAACTAAGTCCTTGACTTAGAGTAAGCACTACCTAGCAAGAATTAAAACATCCGTGTGTTATCAACATTATTCTCACGCTGAATCCCAAACACAGCACAGTACCACCTACTAAGAARAAAATTAACTCTATTCCAAGCAAAATGAGGACAACAAAAGGAAAATTTCACTGATGCAACTGCCCAAACCTGAGGACTTCTGCCTCAGTAGACTCTGGATTCCTACTCAGCTTATGTGTGCTGATTGAAGCCCATCACAATGACTCCATTATTATTTCACCTAAAAAGCATACCTGAGTATCTTTAGCACTCCTGCTCGTATACAAACAAAAGGAAGCTGAAWAAGGTCCACTCTTCCTCACTCACAGCTTTTTGGAGCTTCTCCGTTTAGAGAGGCAACCCCAACCCAATGTTTTACTTGTTGAAAACAGTAAAGTGTCAGGTCAGAGGGTCTGAATAAAACTATCAAGTCACTGCTAGACACCCACAAATGGACTGACATTGGTGCACAGGAAAGATCATGGCCAGAGATTAGGGTGGCTTTACAAGTCATTTAGGTAYTTCTGTTTAAAAATAAGGTACATGGGAAACGCAAACCTGCTCTCTTTATTCCGTAAGGTAGATCAAACTTATGGCTCCCTTGGAAAGCTGCCACTCTGAGAAAATCATCAGGACAYAGGAACGGGTATATTTTGTCATCGCTGATGAAGGAAAAAAGAAAGAAGTTTCAAAAATCCACATGATGTATGTCTATAAGSCAGTAAGTTATTTGACGGCTTTGCAAAAAGCTCTCCATCCTACTATTGTAATTTTTATCGTACTATCATCGATTTTTAAATCAAGAAAATCCATGAACACAGGGAAAACAAGCAGATGACAGAAAAGGCGAAGACTTTATAACAGAAAATATAGGCAGAAAGTGTGATAAAAAGACTTATCTGTACAGGTTATATAGACTGACCAAAATTGTCATTAAAACTATGTGACTGAAAGCATACACCATGGGACCACATATTTAAGAGAATATATAACCCAGGAAGACAGTGAACAACTTCAGATTTGAAAAGTACATAACAGAGGCAGCAAGGAAAATTAAGAGTTATTTTTGTGTATGATATTTTAGTAAATAAGAACAGGATTTGAAACAAGGTGTTTTAACTTGAAACTACCATCTCCTGATATGASCTGCACACCTAATCCAAACAAGTGGCACTACATGACTGTGTTGATATTAGCGAGCTCTTTAGGGCAACWGGGATATATCCCTGCAGCAAAACAGTATGGAGTTCTCATGTCCATATTACATGCACCTTGGGTATTTTATATCCTGGACTAACTCTAGAAGGGTCCCACCCCTTAGCAGCTCCAGCACATGGGCTGTGCTCCTGCAATGCATCTCCTGGCTTTAAGCAGATGTCAAAAGGATCCCGGTGCATTTGCACCAGGGCCACCCTGGGATGAGAAGCACAGCATGTGGAGATTMCAAGGAGATCTGCCTCAAAAGTACATTCTTCCTGCAAACTAGAACATGATGGCGTCCTATCTTGTAAGAGTGTCGAACTAAAAAGAATGGGCCACTTCTTTTGTCAAAAGACAGCAATCACAGACAAGGCATCTTTCATAGCAGGAAGGGACTCTTACTGCCTTATCTGCCAAGTCCAGCAAAATGAGTGAACAGCAAACATGTCACATGCTACCATGCCCTTGGCTTCACCTTTGAATTAACTAAGCACACACTCACTGTACTGGTTGACTTCATAGTGATCCTGCATATTAGGTCTTAGATTAAAACATTAACACACAAGTATGAAGTCATTAGAAAACATAATGTTAATCATCAAAAGCCCCAGCCAGTACGAGTTGATTTTCCATTAAGAATATTAATAGCTGTTAAGAAAACCTTCTCYTTCCCAAATAGAGTATCTCACTCTTTAAGCTCTACGTATGCAAAAGATACTAACAGTAAAAAAGGGRRAAAAAAAACCCAAACAACAGAACATCACAGCCCATACACCATGAAAAGGGCCATAGCTTAACTAAGCAAAACCAGCTAGCTTTGAGACATGATGCACTGAAGACCCGTATTAAATTTAGTAACTTGCKTTGCTGCTCAGAAGCAGCTGGTAAGTTCAGACATAATAAATTATTTACCTACTGGAAAGAGATTCTTWATTCTAGCTCTTCTAGCTCTAATTCTGTTCCAATAAATAATTCTGTGAGATTAGAAATCCTTTCAACATCCCCAGAGTATTACCGAAGTGCACAAAACAGATCTTCACCTCATGCAAATTTTCTCTATAAAGAAGCTACAGAAATGTGTGAGACTCTGTCCTAACTCTGCACATGCCTTCTTGCTGTGCACCTYTGAGTCCATTCCTGCCCCTCTGCGGGACACCAGAGCGATCCTGCTGTGCCCAACACAGCCTGGGCACAGTCCATGCACAAGGGAATTAAGACCACCTCAGTGGACCAGGAGCTAAGCGAAACTCCAAGACTACATGTCTGCTTTGGGTGACACAAATTTTACATGCTTCTGTGTTCTTTAAAACCTGCAAGAGCACTGAAATTACAGCCACAGTTTCTTACATACAAAAAGTACCAAGGGAAAGAAAAAGCCWTGGTGCCTTTGTGCAGGGATTTAACACTCCTTCAGCCAGGACTTGGTCTAATCTTTCCAAGCTTTCTCAGGGCACTACTCAACATTTGCTCCAAAATGTGTAAATAACCCAGTTCTATTCTACCTCAACCAGCACAGCCTTTCCTCTTCCCCCACCCCCCAATTCCCACAGAAGACTCACCCCAGCAAAGATTCAAATGCTGGTCTCAGGAGACAAGTGTCTAGTGCATTCCTCCTCTCCACAGCCGTAGATGGCAGCCTGCAAAACAAAAATTCAAAATAAATAGCAAGACCAGGAACAGATAGCAGAAACAAGATAGGAAAACTTGGACAAATTAAATCAGTGAAAGCTGATTACTTAGTTAAATCACTCCAGTATTTCATTACTCTCTCCYCCTGTGTTAAAAAGATGAAACTTTCCCACTGCAGCACAATTACTAGTAAAGGCTTCTATCTCACACTGCTGCTCCAAGGGGACTGCAACCTCCCTTGCTCAGCAATTATCAAAGGAGGGATAATCAGAAATGAGAAATCAGGCCCATCTCCAGAGAAGCAGGACTTCTGGGCTCAATCAATGCTCAATCACCCCTGCAGCCCCTCCAGAGAGCATCGTCAGCATTCCTYAGGGTGGAAATGAAGTCTTGTGTGGAGAGGGAACTAGCACTGCACATAGGGTTTCTTAAGGAAAATGAGATTCTCTGGGCTAAATAATTCCTCCTGTAATAAGGCTAAGACTTACACTTCCAGGCACATTCCTGACTTGGAGATTTAGCTCAATTAATCACAAATATAAAGCCCGGAAGGGAAGGTAAAGTTCAGAGTGAGCACGATGCATCTGGGCTGCAGTAAGAACAGCAGGATGAAACCACCACAAGCCAAACAGGCCATTAAGGTTAATTGAATCTGGTAACCTCAAGCTGTTATGTGAATACTGACACCAAGAAAGCACTATATGAAATCTATCAGCTCGTCACCTTAGTGCTTTCCAGCACCAGCTTCACAGATGGCATTTTGCAGGACAGCTTMAGAGAGAAGAGAGGTCTGCTTTCAAGTTTTAGCATAGTGTTCATTAGTCCTACAAATCTAACTGAAGGAAGCCAAAAGCACAAAAGCTGCTTATACATACACTTGAACATGACAAGTGAAACACACCTCTGGTTTAATAAGTTTTAAGCACTGAAGTTGCCCTCCAAGCTGCACTAACTTTTTTGGGTTTAACTCAAAATTGCAGGAATTTGAAAATTGTAAGCCAGTGTCCTAATGATTCACTGCTTGTTACAGTCACCGGAAGTGGCTATAAATATTAAAAAAACACTTGAAACATGACATGGACAAATTCCTTTCTGACAGACACCTTACCATGATGTTTGTAACACGAACAGCCACTGGACACAGTTGTACAATTAAGCAGGGAGCCTATGGACAAAGGCTACAGATTTTAGCCTCAATCCCTCCCACCTGTCCAAAACCAAAAYRAAACAAAAAAACCCAAACCAACCCCACCACAAAAATACTCAACTGCTGAACTTACTCATCATAACTGTATGTAACTCCACTAGGCACATAGGAAGTAGCAGCCCTCACAGAGGAAGTCTGTCCATAAAAGCTAATCCTGCAAAAAGGGAAATGTCACAACACTGTGGTTTACTGTAAACAGAAACCACAAAAGAAAGCTATTTCGTATCAACTATATGCTATAAACAAGCTAAAGGGAACACATTAGCCACTACTTTTAAAAACTGTAACTTATCTTAGTAACACTCTGGTCAGTTCTGGTCACAGCTGTGCAAAGACCAATGGAAACCCAAATTCAAGTAAACATCCTGAATTTTAGGTTCCAAGCCACCTGTCCCATGAGGCTCACTGCCCTTGAGGGCTGCTGCTGGGCCTCAACAAACTTCAGCTTTTCAAAAGGTGCCCCTTGCACCTGCAGTTATTCCCATGTGTGGAGAAGGTCTCTCCTACGTCACTCATCAGACATTTAATGGAATATTATCMGACATTTAAGGAACAAACAATACTAAACCCACATGGGGTAGAGGGAGATACAGACACTTTATTTCTGCATTTCATTTATCTTCTCACCTGAACACCTATTTTCATGAACCTCAGAGGGGCAACCTATCACTAAGGTCCTGATCTCTCCATACAACCAGGCTCAAACTGATTACTAGGTTTAAAAGTGACACAAGATAACAGGTGACAGGACACATCATGTTGATTCCTTCAGAGTACCAAAAAAACTCAACCACAAAGGACACACACACACACAGAGAGCCACATACACAGCAGTAATCACTTATGATGATTACTTAATGCAGCAACACAAGAACTCACAGCCACATCTCTCATACAGCCATGCAGTGTCTGCACCCTAAATGAACAAAGCATCACCATACCAGTAGAGGTTATTTCTCCACAGATTTCCATGCAGGATACCATACATAACAGCAGCAGCCAGGATAAAAAACAGAAGAATTCGTTTCATGACTGATAGACCTGAAACATATGAAAAACAAAACAARAAACTGAAACACAAGATGAACTAATACATGAGCTTTTCTAAAGCATCTGTGAAACCCACAAAAGAAAGTTACTGTTATTACAACCATTCTCTACCACCACAAATCTGATGGGTGGTCACTCCATTTTGGTTTCTCACACAAACACCCAGTGCCAGGAGCCAAATGCTGGTTTGCACCTATGTGTGTGCAATCTCCACAGGAGCACTTTGAGAGGGCTCACTCTAGGTTCTCTCTGAAGACATGTGAAAGTAGATCTCTTTTCTGTCCACAGGCAGCCCAAAGAAGCCAGCTGGTTTTTATAGGAACCTGTGCTTCTCCTCTTTCTTGTGCCACACACTATCTGCTCCCGTAATTACACAATTAAACAGTTAAACAAGCAYTGGCACAGTGCAGGAGCAAGATAGGCTAATCGCTGATGAAACAGAACAGGGTGTGAGCTGCCACAAATTTCTACTGTTTTTTTTTTTTGGATCACTGAATGTTCTTGAAGCCCAGTTTTGACATTTAAAGCTCCACTGGAACTATCTGCTTATGCCTGCAGAGTCTTCAGCTCCTGACACAAGCCAAACTTCATTGCTCRAGCAACAGAAAAATGTTATTTTCACATATCGCAAAGTGAGGAAGAAAAGTTAGGATCCCATCTATCAAACTTGTGAAGTTATAGAGAAAGATCAGAGAAAGCATTMATTTTTCAAATAGTTTGCACCTATTGCACAGTCTAGTAAAAGAAAAACAGAGAAATATCAGAAACCCACATATCTGGCTAGACAAACTGAGGCAAAATCAAGTTCTGTATTGCTCACATCTTGCACAGTGAGCTGCCTTTTCAGTAGCTATGAATGAACTGTTGTTGCTTAATCTTGTGAAAGTCCAAAATAGCCATTCTGGCCACAAGTTACTGTGGAAATTTACTTGAGAACCACAGCCTTCTAGTATTTTCACYTCTATCATGGCAACCAGGGTCAAAGCACACAATACATATACACCTAGATGCCTATCTGTATGTTGCAGTGAACTGAACAAACAGCTGTCCAACAAAACAAGCCGCATGCAASCATACTGCTTCATTTCCAAGACCCTTTTTTTCCTTAATATATAAATTTTCTTTTTTTAAAAGTCCATGTTGCTTTTAAGAGTCTTTATTTTAAGCAGCTCTAAGGCAATAAAACTCAAGGTGCATATAGTCCAAGTGATTTACAGCAATACACTTCATGACAGTAATATCTTAAGATCCCATTTTAAAGACCAAGAAATTGCTAGAGAGCCTTTTTGATATTAGAAATTAAAAAACAAATTGCTGCCACTCACATTTCTTCACCCCTGAAGGAACATCCAACAGTGTCACGATTACTTGAGTGCAACAAACCACTACTTCCTTATTTTTTTTTTCCACTCATATCTTTCACCAGAATTTAATTGTAGAGTTAAGAGATGTGGTTTTACAACAGTATCTACCAGTAACAAACCCATGCAATGAACAAGGTAGCATCTATCAACCCGAAGTACATCCTACAGGCTATCCTGCTCTGYTCTGGATTAAATACTCACAAGCTGGAGCTGTTGCAATTCCAACCTTTCATCCCTCTTTGGGAAATAGCACTGTCTCCCTTCRCAGCCACTCTCAACTTCTAGAGCAATCTCGAAGCTTGTGCAGTAATTCAGTAAGAGTCTTGCCCTAAAACTGAAAAAATACAGGAAAATTTGCCTACTGGTTTCAAACAAGTGTCATTAACAGCAACTGGCTCATAATTTTGATTGCTATAAAGGACAACTGAGAGATCAGGCCCAGCAGCATGGGCTGCCTTTATGAAAGGCAGGTCTGGCTTGGCCAGCCCGATCTCCTTGTATGATAGGGTGCCCTGCACAGAGGATAAGGGAAAGGCTGTGTACGTTGTCTGCCAAGTCCTAAGTAAAGCCTTGGACACTATTTCCCACAGCATTATCCCAGAGAAATGGCATGGATGGGTATGCTCTCCACTGTGTAAAAAGCTGGCAGGCTGAGCCCAAACAGAGGTGAGGAACAGTCACATCCAACTGGCAGCCAGTCAGTAGTGGGGTTCCCAGGRCACAGTTTTAAGAAAATAMAYSRTCTGSACAAGGRGATCTWGTGCACCTTGTCAGTTTGCAGGTARCATCAAGTTGAGTGGGAGTGTTGACCTGCTGGAGGGAGGGAAGGCTCTGCAGAARGATCTGGACAGGCTGCATCAATGTGCCAAGGCCAGTCGTRGGAGGTCYAACAAGGCCAAGTGCTGGGTCCTGTCTGGGTCACAATAACCTCCTGTAGCACTACAGGCTGAAGGAAGAGTGGCTGGAAAGCTGCCTGGMRGRAAAGGACCTGGGGGTGCTGGTCAGCCATGGCTGAACATGAGCCAGTCTTGCACATGGCCAAGAATGCCAACAGCAGCCTGGCCTGGATCAGCAAGAGGGTGGCCAGCAGAATGAGGGAAGAGATCACTCCTCTGTACCCAGCACTGRTGAGGCCATACCTCAAATCCTGTGYTCAGTTATGAGCCYCTGACTACAAGACAGATAGTGAGGTGCTGGAGTGAGTCCAGAGAAGTGCAAAGCTTCTGAAGTACCAGAAGAAGTAACTCAATGGAGACCTTATTACTCTCTTCAACTACCTGCAATGAGGCTGTAAGGAGGTGGGGATCAGTCTCTTCTCCCAGGCAGTAAGTGACAGGACAAGAGGAAACAATCTCCATTTGCCCCAGGGAGATGTTTAGATTAGGTATTAGGAAACAAAATTTTCTGAAAGGGTTGTAATGCACTGGAACAGTCTGCCCAGGGAAGTGGTTGAGTCACCATCTYTGARGGTATTTAAGAGATGTCTACATGTGGCACTTGAGGACATGTTTGACTGCATGTGGCAGTGCAGGGCTMATGGTTGGACTCCATGATCTTAAAGRTCTTTTCCAACCTAAGCGATGCTATTATTTACTTGGAAAAGATATTGCACTCCGTAGTAGTTTTTTTCCTTTCACAATCAGTAATTTTTATCCCCTCCTGCTTTGAAAAAGTTTGCCAAAACATCCCACTAAAGTGAAAAATCAACTCTTCACCTTTTACTCCCTAACTCAATCAATACAAACTTCAGTTAAACAGAAACATAATAAATCAGCTCTTCAGATAAAGTTGCCAAGTTAACAACTGATTAAATTGCTGATTTTACTGACTTCAATGTAAGAAAGAAYCTTGCTGAAAAGTCAGGCCAGGCTACAAAACAGGGAAAAGACAAGGCAATCAGCCCATAAATGGTCTATTAAAAACAAGAATATTCTTCAAAACAGTATTATTCAGAGGGGGAAAAATTGTTCCACTCGCAAAGTGYTTAAAAATATATTCATACAGCCTGAAAAAAAAAATCATTAAAAAAAGGGAATAGAAGTCAGCATCATTCTTCAAACAGGATCATAAGGGATCTCCAACAACTTCCAGTGTTTTAGGCAGGGCATTCAGCCTGGCACACACATGATAATGGGTCCACCCCAGCTGCAAAAAAAACCCATCATTAAGAGTGTACCTAACTTGGCTCTTAGAAACATAAAATAGTCTTTAATTATCTAAGTGTGTTCTCATCATCCCATCCCCCAGTGCCTGGCTTCACTCCATCTTTGAGGGAAAGTTCTGTAGCCAAGAGAGTCTTCACTCAGAAGASTTTCCTAATCTGGTTCAGTAAACAAAGCCACTGCCTTGCTTACAGAAGAAATTATTCTGGGTGCATTTTTAATGATGAYGGCATCTTCCAGCTCTCTCTTCCTATTTTTAAAACAGCTGAGTGTTGTAGAAAGTTCATCAAAGGAAAACCAACTCCTATAATGCAAATATTGCACTAGAAAATGCCCATAGTCACAYGGAGACACAAGAGAAGACAGTTCAGATAGAAAACACCAGTTCCTCCACTTTTTTCACTTCAACACAAGAGCCACCATATTGATTTAAGCCCATCAACCCAAGTGACAGRGGCCATGGTTCCCTTCCTTAGGTCAACATCAATCAGGGTTAAACAAAACAAAGAAGAGKAAGCTGGAACTCAACTATTCAATTTCCTCCTCCTTCTTAAACCCCTATAGTGATCTACACAATGAAAAGGAACATGGAACCCAGTATGACCATGCCTGGTGATCATGGTGTAGCTGAAAATTTTCTGAAAGCAAACAATGGAATGTTTAAGTGCTGCAAAAAATGATAGGTTTTTTTAACAGTAATGTAAGCTAAATTCTATGGGTCAACTCTCCCAGAGGAAAGAGCTACAATTACAGAATTAGACAAGACTGACTCTGTTAYAGTATTAAGAAGACCTCAGAGATCAGCGTGAATCTCCTACTGACAGAAAGATCCGCCCAATCTCCCATAAACTCACCAGAAAGAATCATTTGGGTATACGATCTATTAACTATATAGGACTTGAGGCTAATACTTTCTTCCCTTGGTAGAAGCAGGGAAGCCCCATATTTGTCAGAGGTGCATCATTACTTACAATTAATCTTTATGCTTATAGTGCACGTAGTGCCCCCTATGAGCCACTGTCTCAGAGCTTCTGTTTATCTTCCAATTTACACATGCAGTTRATGCAGTCATGGCACAGAACAAACCCTGCAGGAATCTACAGCTGCTGGACTGAGCAAATGACCACAGAACCATCACCTTTCTCCATAACACTCATAAGCCCTCCTTTCCTCCTTAAAAATTTGTAGCATTAATAGCACAATGCAGAAGGCTTTTCCATCTRTCCCACTTATTTTGTAACGTATCTTTGACTACTGCTGAAATAAAGAATCAGTAAGTATTTAACTATAAAGTGGTTACTATTAAATTAAATACTATGCAGCTTAAAACAAACTTAGCTCCATAAACTGCCACAAGACCAGGTAACTTCTTGCTGCTGCCACTGAGTGACAGCCTGAAAATTTCAGCTCACTGAGACCTCACATTCCTAAATGTTGTAGTTGTGGGGAAGGACATGAACTTGAAAATATGCTTTGAGCAGACCTTGAAATTTAAAGGGACAGCAGAAAATGCACATAAAAACCTAATAAAGGTTTAAAAAGAAACATCAGGACTTTTAAGATATAGTCAGTATCTTGTGGSTTTGTGCTTGTGACCACCAGTCCCGCAGCAGTGCTTCCATTGGGTCACGATGTAGCACATGCTGGTGAAATAACCAGCAAAAGAACAATCAAGGAAAGAGTTCTCACATCATCATCTTTCTCAAATTGTCAAAACACGAGCACATTATAGCACATACACAAAAATTTCTTCTGCTAAATCTAACCCCAAATCTATTCATCATCCACTCTCCCAGTTCTTGCTCTAAGTACGTGCATAATTGCATAGTTCCTTAATTCTCCCCGTCTTAAGGAAGGTAATACTACACAACARCACTGCAGCACAGTCTAACAGGTACTGAAATGGCTGAGTCAGTCTAGTGCCTTCCCTCACTCCCATTACCTGAAATGCTCATGATTTCCAATGATCTTTTTGATTTTAGTTGAAGAAACAGAAAGTGCTCAGAAATACTGTTTCAATGAGACTTATTGGGTTATCCTAGCAAACTGACTCAGAATTAAAACTAAATTYCTAACTCTCCAATTAACACAAGCTTGGTTTTGAAATGGTGCATTTAGCAGCATCAGAATTGAAAAATATTCTTGTTAACCTGTCCTACCTCACAACAAACCAAAGCAGTGACTCCTGTTCCTGAAAACMTGCCCAAACCATGACACTGGGTTTTACAGGGTCAAAATGTCACTATGGGCTTCTTCTAGCATCACACCCCACATATATGTGACTGCTGTGAAAGTATTCCCTGCACTGGAAGACACTTTCTGCCCTAATCTCTTCCAACATGGGGACAAGCAGTAGAGGAATGATTTGCTGACTATGAAAACTGAAGCCTTCTTCCTCTCCATGAGTACACCAAACTACCCATTTTACTTCCACAGTATCCAGGTAACTAAAAAAAATAAGAATATTTCTCCAAACACAGCTTCTCTCTGTTAAGGAAAGTTTCCAATGTTTCCCCTATCATTTCCTTTTTGTCCAAATAYTGCAGCAAGCCTGAAAAGAAATAGTAAGATAACCTTTTCTCCAAGCACTCAASAGCAAGCATTGATGTTCAGTAGATAAGACACGACAGCAGTAGAGATGTTTAATAGATTTAGTCAATCTTTGTTCTTTATCAGCTCCCACAGCCAAAAGTGTAGCTTCTGTTGACATTAATTTACTGTGGAGACACAGACTAGAGCCATGCCCACCTCTGACCTTGTGTGGCTGCACACCAATTCAGGACAGGCTGCAATAAATTGGTTTCAGGGCATAAGTGCTCGTCTCCTTGCCCTTCATYATCCTGCTAATGGTGAAGCATATTCTGTACCACAAGCAACAGTAATACATTTATTACTTTGTGGACAATTAGGATTCTTTTATTCCATTTTTTGAGTTACAGTAATAGACGCTGGTATTGTGTTCTTCAGAGCATAACTGCCTGTTGGGCCAAGCAAAAAGAAAAGGCAGACTTAATCAGTATTTTTCACTGATGACCTCTATTTCAATTTGCTTCTGTCCAGAGCCTACAAGATCTCTGCATCACTTTGCCTCTTGTGTGGCTCTGCAGACATATTTGTAATGTCAGAAACTCTCCCACACAAGTACGCCCTTTGGCTAAAAAATATTGAAAAA